CCACGAAAATGGGTTCTAAAATGGGTGCTATAACCAGATTAGCCCCAACAAAAACACCATTGCCAGAGGTTTGCCCAACCAACACCCAAGGCTCAAAGATACTCAAAGCAGATTGGGGCCACGGCCGTGGCCAACCCGTCATCTGAAAGCCGCCGCAACGCAGCCGCGGCCTCCTCCGCGGGCTTTGGCGCAAGCACAGCTGGGTGAAAGTTGATGGCAGAATACTCCCATGGCTTCGTCCTTCCTTACCCACACCTAACCGGGAATCGTGCCATGGACTTTGACCCTGATGCAAAACTTGGCGGCAACCCCCCATTTACCCTCAAAAAGAACCAGGGCTGCAAATCCCAAAACCCGAGTGAAGGTCCATTGGGCATCCCTTGGTAAACAGCGCTTGCTGGGGATTTGTGACCAACATTGTTCTGAGTGAGGATGTTACAGCTTCCAACCAACAAGACAGCAACCCATTGCCAACTTGCCCACCTCCTGCCCCAAGTAACTCCAGGCGAGCATGCAACCTATCGCCTGGGCTCTCCTTCAACCTCAACAGACCGGCAACACAACTCACACATCGCGTGCCAAAAAAAACAAATAACTGGACAACTCGCACACAGCCGGCACCTGGAACAAGGGCGACATTGAAGATGCTTAGCCTAGCCTAACACTATAAAGGTCAAAGGCAAGAAATGAAGAAGTACGGTGCAACCCTGGTGCTTCAGGTGCTAATTGCAGTACTGACCCTATGATTGGGAGTGACACCACACAGCACCACACAGCAAGTGACAGTCCCAAAGCGCTGGAGCATAAAGATATTGGATGTTTCATCGTCGTGTACTTGATAGGTCCTTGCTTGTGTTTGTGTTGATCTTGGTGTGCTAGAAGACAGGGCTGAGCAAGGATAAACAGCAACACTGAATGACCTCCCAGATTCGTTGGCAAAAAGCAAGTAGGTCCTGCCAAATGCTACTACATGATGTTGCTGCTTGTTTGGAGAGGTCTTGTGCAATCCTCTGTGGTCAGCCTCCATCGCCAAAATCATAGGCCTCAAAGGGAAGCACGTGGCTGGCTTCAGAGGGAAACAAAGGTCAGTCCACAACAAAACATGGGTTCCCGGCGGCCAGGGCCTCGACATACTCTTTGGCCGGCACGCACATTACGCATCAGTGCTCGAAACATACCAAATAGTGAAGGTCAAGTCTCCAAAGGTTGTGGAACAGTAGTTGCCAACGGAAACAGCCAATGTACGAGAAGCTGATGGCCAATCTGAATCGTGTTTCGTGTCAAGTGGGCTTGCGGCTCAGAATCAGATTCTGCAAGTCAACATGATTACTGGATATCTACTTGACCACATCACCAGGTATCCAGAAGCAACATGAAATCTTCTAGCCTCCCAAAGCTAGGCTGGGTGGACCACACACCTGATGGACCTGGATGTTGACCCTACCTGAACCCCTCCGTGAACCCTGAAGGTACCTCTGACGTGCAATCCAGGAAAATTCCACTGCCTTTCTCTATATATATATATATATGTGTGTGAGTGTGTGTATATGTATATATATATGTACACATATTTGCACATTGTAGGCATGACATGACTCAGAGGTATGTACTAGGAGTACCTACTTGAGGTGCACGTGCTTGAGCCTGCCGCTTTAGCCCCACCAGGTTGCTCCAAAGGCACGAGGGTGAAAACTTGGTCCACATCCCTCCAACTATTTTACCCTTCTCACAGGATAGTGGGATATGTGGGTCAAAACCCCGTACCCCCAGTGCACATCCCAATCCTCACTAAACTAGACTAAAATGGGTGGTGCACCTATCCCAAAATGGTACCATTGGTTTTGAACCATGGCCATATTGCCACCCCCAAAACGGGTAGCGGGTAGCTTCTCATCTTCCAGGCTTTCAGGGTCTAAAACCCCTCGCGGCGAGTCCGCTTTTGACCCCCTTCAGGGCAATCAACCATGGCGACTCCATCCGATCCGAGCAAAAAAACAAAAACGACAACCGGAGCTCCTGCAAGCTCGCAGCGACGCCATGCAACTGCTCTTGCAGCGGGTTCCGGTGGGAAGCTGGCCTCCAGGAGTCGACTGAGGGTCCATGAGGCACATCCAGACCGAGTGGAACTTATGTTGGTTTCCAGTTTACGTGTCCTGTGGGCGCTAAAAGCAAGCAAACCAATGAACAACCGTGAGCAGAGTTTGGCATGCATAGCTGCTATGCCTTGCTCATCCGCATTCCGTCTCCATTCCGGCGCGTGTCCTATCTCGCGCACTCTTGCAGGGATTTCGCATAGATTACAAACCCCCCAGCCCCCCAGCCCCCCAGCAGCTGTTTCAAGGGCACCTTTCTCTCAAAAGGATCAAACGGCCATCTGAGGCAGCCATATTCTTTCAGAACTCCCAGCTCCTGAGCCCCCTCGTTAGCGATTTTGGCCTCCAGCGGGGGGGTTTTGGGTCAAAAGTGAACTCGAGCCTCTCAGGACTTCGAGTGGGGAATGATCACGTCGCTTGGGCTCTTGGGCTCTTGGGCCCCAGGCGAAGGGCAAGGGCTAGGATCCGCCGCGATGTTGAAGCGCATCACCGGAGCCTGGAGTTTCAAGCTGCACGGGGAGGCGTGTTGGACTTCTGATTCAATTTGAATTGGTTGTGTTCTTGCTCTGGATTGAAGCAGGGCCGTGAAATGGAATCCACTTGATCCACTTCAGTGATACACCAAAAAGGGCTTCCAAAATAGACGAACCCCGCATGAGGGGGAGATTCCCGAAGATATCACAGAAGTGGTCGGACAACACCCGAGTGATCAACCACAACCCTGGCGCGCCAAATTCGCTGGAATCCCATCGCCGCGAAATGACTCGGGGCGGCCGGAACTCACCTGTGCTTCAAAAGGCTGGCTCGGGACCCTGGGGCTACTGGGGTACACCAGAAAATCACGGGGGCTGCGGGGGGAGGACACCCTTATTCGGCAAGAAGGCCTTATTTAGGACTTACTTGGGCTCCCTCCTCTTCCCTCCCTCCCCCCGGCCCCCATAAGACAAGCACACTTTCAGAGTCTTCCGATTTGCTCTAAAAACGCAAATCCGTTTCAAAATCCGCATTGGCGGAAAGACGAGTCTGGACGCCAACCCGCTCGGCCCAAAACAAACACACACGTTGACTTGATCCCAGGGGTTGAGACGAGCCATGTTCGGAAGAGACCAAACGTCAAACGCCGCTTTTTGCAGGCTGGCGGGCAACCAGCCCCTCACAAGCTCTGAGATTCTGATCCATGAAGATAACCTGAAGAAATAGTTGATGAACGATGCAAAACTCACCTGCCCCAAGTGTCCAGAAATCAAAGGCTCACCTTTGCGACCTTGACGAACAAGGGACCAAACAATGACTAGGTCCTCCAGTGGAGAGGTTAGAATAAGTTGGTACCCTTTTTTCTGTAGTCCATTTTAGTAGAGGAGCCCTCCCCCAAAAAGGAAACGGTACAAGGGCACTCCTGGGGGACCTAACAAGGACAATCTATATGTTGACCGGCTGGCTTTGGGCACACCTCGAAGATATTCTTCCGGCACGCGGGCCTGAGGGCTGCTTTTTTCTCGGCTGTCGACGGGTCAAATCAGACTCGGGGGATTCTTTCGGTCAAAGCGCTGAACTCCCAACAAGTTTGAACTTCACCTGAGAAGAAGCACTGCACAACCCGGGATAGGATCTCTATCGGTAGACGGGTACAGGCAACGAGCCAATGCGCCACGGTACGGGAAACCGGATACACTTAGGGTCCGAGCTAACAGGGAACGACACGAAAGGTGCGACAACCTTCAAACAACATGCTGACAGCAGGAAATAAAGGCTTTTGAAAACCCAAAGTGTTGACTCTGCTTTCGGAAAGGTCAAAATACAGTGGTGCCCCTACCAATCAGCATCAGCAGCTGGGACAAAGGTAACAAACACAATCATACTGATCTTCTAACATTCATGCTCAAACACTCTGCCGTAGCTGCGATTCAAGGCCAAGCCAAGCTTGCAGCACCGATACCGCACCTCCGCAAGGGGCAACTCTTTTCAGGTCGGGGCGTCGGAATCCGAATGCTTGGCTTGCTCAAATGATGCCAATGCGGTTCGCCACGTCCAGAGCATCGTAGTCCTGGGTGAGGCGGACATAGGCCTTCTTCTTCCTCGAAAGCTCTGAGTGCAAGGTCGCCCCAATGTTGCAAATCCGATGCACACGCGTGAGCATGCACCAATATGTTTGTGCTGGGTACGTGTTTCTGCTCGAGAACAGCCGGTCAGGTCAAAAACAAGCAACCTTCAAACCCAATCATTAGCTGAGGCGCCCGTCTGGTCGGATCAGGGTGTTGACCTTGGCGCACTTCACATCATAGAGCTGCTTCACCGCCTCCTTGATCTTGGGCTTGGTGGCCTTGATGTCCACCAGAAACACCAAGGTGTTGATCTCCTCAATCTTCTTCATGGCCGACTCCGTGGTCACAGGGCACTGGATGATGCGGTACTTGTCCAGCTTGTCACCACGGCTCTCCGTGGACTTTCGAGGGTACTTGGGATTCCTGGCTTTGACCAGCGTCTTGGGCCTGTAGAAACGGACCTTGGTGCGGATCTTCTTCACCTTCCTGGCCACTGCGCCCTTCACCGCCTTGGCAGTCTTCTCCGCCTTCTCCTTCCCCTTCTCCCCCTTCTTTGGCGCCATCTCGGCCACAGCGCGACAGCCACTTAAATCCGCTGGAGCCACACGCCGCGGCATGAGAAACTTTGAATGTGCGCTTTCTGACATTCTGTCTAGTGACTTGCTTGCAAAAGGCCCACCTTCCACCGTTGACCCCAAATTCAGGAAGCTGGAGGATATTTGTTTGTGTTTTTGTTTTCTTCATTTTTCCCCCAAGAAGGGAAGGGTTCGCTCTGATTTCGGGACACCTCCGTTTATGAAGTGATACAATCCATGCTTCTCGGGGGCACTTACCACCACCTCAGCTCTGTCCAGTCGCGGCAGTTTTTCCGGGAGCTCGCCTTGAGGTTTTTTTTTGACTACAACAGAAACCCAAATGCTCAAATGATGCCAATGCGGTTCGCCACGTCCAGAGCATCATAGTCCTGGGTGAGGCGGACGTAGGCCTTCTTCTTCCTCGAAAGCTCTGAGTGCAAGGTCGCCCCAATGTTGCAAATCCGATGCACGCTACATGGGCAACAAGCGTGAGCATGCAGCTGTGTACGTGGTTCTGCTCGAGAACAGCTGGTCTAATGGAAAAAACAAGCAACCTTCAGACCCAATCATTAGCTGAGGCGCCCGTCTGGTCGGATCAGGGTGTTGACCTTGGCGCACTTCACATCATAGAGCTGTTTCACCGCCTCCTTGATCTTGGGCTTGGTGGCCTTGATGTCCACCAGAAACACCAAGGTGTTGATCTCCTCAATCTTCTTCATGGCCGACTCCGTGGTCACAGGGCACTGGATGATGCGGTACTTGTCCAGCTTGTCACCACGGCTCTCCGTGGACTTTCGAGGGTACTTGGGATTCCTGGCTTTGACCAGCGTCTTGGGCCTGTAGAAACGGACCTTGGTGCGGATTTTCTTCACCTTCCTGGCCACTGCGCCCTTCACCGCCTTGGCAGTCTTCTCCGCCTTCTCCTTCCCCTTCTCCCCCTTCTTTGGCGCCATTGCAAAGGCTCCCTAATTACCCGCAACCAAAAGGTTCTCTGAGATACAGGCGGCGACGGTCAAGCACGGAGCAACTGCAGCTATCAGGCAGTCTTCCATCTGAAAGGCAATAGCTTGCATTCCTCAATTTCTTCGCAAGCTCATGCAACTCCGGGCTCGTGCGGACATTTCCTCGGAATAAGCACGTACCCGAGCAAGCCTTGTTCGGGGTATATCAACCACATATGACCTCCGCCGACCCAACGAACAACATATATCATATCATAATGCGGGTATGCGGTATGCATGTCAAACAAGCCGCCAAGCTCTTCCTAAGGCCTCTCTGAGGACATGTCGCTTTGCAAATGAGACCGCCAACGCAACATTGCAACCTTCAGCGCTTGCAATCGCTGACCAGTGCTCCCGCATCCCAGCTATTTCAATCCAAACCAGGGCCCGAAACAAGTTCCTCGCGCGCGCGCGCGGCCAGGGAACTGAGAGAATCCAACAAGCAGCACCCAGCATATGATCCGTTTGGTCACCTTTTGCGCGGTTCAGAGCTGGCGGTTTCTGAAGCATCTAGATGATGCCGATACGATTGGCCACATCCAGGGCATCATAGTCCTGCGTGAGGCGGACATAGGCCTTCTTCTTCCTGCGGGTGTCAGCTGGCATGGACTAGGTGATGCACTGTGCGTCATTCGATATAGGGGTCCCACCAAACGGTGGCTTCTGTTGTTGGTTCTCTTTAATCCTACAATTGGTACTAGTACTCTCGGAGCGACCGTCAAACGGGGTAATCTTGAGCGTTTCCCATCTTAGTTCCATTCATCCCGCTCTCAAACAAAGGCAATCATGCACTCGTGAAAAGTTCCAGCTCGCCCGTTGAGGTGTTGTGGGAAATCGAGTAGGGCAAAGGCCCCCCCCCTAGTGCCACTTTATCATAGTCGTCCCCACAAAAGCCACAGCAATACAATGCCAAAGTACCCTCGAATCGAACCAAAAACAAACCAAAACTGGTTGAATTGAAAGGTGCAGCATCGCTTCAAGGAATGCACACGCATGATTCGAGCATCGGCATTGCATGCAGTCGTAGGGGTGTGGCTGCGGGTATTGGGTGAGTGTTCCGCTTGATGGCCAAGGAATTCTAGTCTGACTTTTGAAAGCAATTGAGCATGCTTTTGCCAAACTAGTGTGTAGGCCATACCGAATCATGTCACGCTCTTCGGAACCAACTCCAGATTGTTCAGGCTTGGCATGTTGTCTGCTTCCTCTTACGGCAGCACTTTCGCATTGTGACAAAAGCTAGGATTCAAATATATCATGCATTGCTACACGAGTCCAGCATGGACGACGCTCTCACCCATGGTGTGCAAAAATGGATCTATGTCGGCACTAAGGCCTCGTCGATCACTTGTACGCCGCGTTGCATTCGAAGTGCGATCTCAAAGGACCAGGAAAACGGGCTCAATTCCAACCACTGAAAGTAGATCAAACGAGGGAACCAACAAGAACACACAGGTCGGCTATTAACACCTTAGGATTGCATATGTCAATGACACGCAAGCAACTTGGCCCGACCTGCCACGCCCAGGTCAAAATGCATCAAAGCAGGGGGGTAAATATTGGCGTGGTCAAAGGGCAAAGCGAAGAACTTAATCTAAATAGGCTATATATACTGGTTTCTCTGTCAGCTGAGGCACCCATCTGGTCGGATCAGGGTGTTGACCTTGGCGCACTTCACATCATAGAGCTGCTTCACCGCCTCCTTGATCTTGGGCTTGGTGGCCTTGATGTCCACCAGAAACACCAAGGTGTTGATCTCCTCAATCTTCTTCATGGCCGACTCCGTGGTCACAGGGCACTGGATGATGCGGTACTTGTCCAGCTTGTCACCACGGCTCTCCGTGGACTTTCGAGGGTACTTGGGATTCCTGGCTTTGACCAGCGTCTTGGGCCTGTAGAAACGGACCTTGGTGCGGATCTTCTTCACCTTCCTGGCCACTGCGCCCTTCACAGCCTTGGCAGTCTTCTCCGCCTTCTCCTTCCCCTTCTCCCCCTTCTTTGGCGCCATTGCCACACCCCGACAGCCAGTTGAACCGCTCAAACAAATCCGCTGCGCGCGTGTGTGCAAATACCTGCACCATGAGGCCACTATACATAGGTTGCATACGTAATGGGCCGGGGAACATGTCAACAATTTGTATGTTCATACCAAACTGCATGGATGTGAATGTATGTATGTATATATATATATATATTACACTTTATGAATGTTGCTTACACGCATGCTTTCCAAAACACAGGGTGGGGAATGCATGTCCCCCAACTGGGGCCTCCGACGCTTGCTGCACAGGCTCGGTCTCAGCCTTGGCTTTGCCCTTACATTGCTTGAGCATTACCCGCAAAATTGTGGCTTCCTTTTGGCCTGGTCGCAAGGATGATGCAATTGAATCGCCCAAATTACATCTACATGTTGAAGCCCTGCTCAACCATCAAAGCAAACCCTTCCTCAAACCAGACTGGACACCAACTCAATCAAGCATGCTTGCCTTAAAACAATGCTTTTGAATTGAGATGGCGCTTTTTTGGCAAAGCAACACTTTTGAAAGCTGAGCATTTCAAGAGGTCGCGTGCTAAAGCGAAACGGCAATTTTACCCGTCTAAACAGCTTGTCCCGTCCAAACGGCATAATTTTCTCGACCGTGGCTTTCTCCCATGGCCACTGAAGGGATCCACCAACTTTGGGGATCCCACCTTTATGAGCTGCTTTGGGACACAGCACCGCTTTTGTGCTAGGTCTTAGTGGTTCTGGCCCTGTGTTTTAGGCACGCCCGAATGTTTTGCCGTTTGGCGAGAAGACATACTTTCCGCCGTTTCGTGAAACAAACTCCTTTGGACCAAGAGTTGCTGTGTCACAAAATGCCACCTTCAAGGCCGCCACCCTTTGGTTGATTTTCCATTTGAGTCATGCATAACTGACTGACATGTGACATGAACCACACACACAAACTAATCCAAGCCTAGAAGCCTTAGCAGTGACTTTGCTGCTCTTCTCGGGGGTCGTGGCAACGTTGACCTTGTCTTTGATCTCTGTCTCAAGCCTTCCTGTGGCTTGTGCCATGGGCGCTTGAATGCGTGCTGTTCTCTGCGAAGTGTCCCCTGCTTGCGAAGTGTCAGCAAACTCGGCTATGGTCGCCACCCTCTCCGCTTTTGCTGCAGGCTCTGCTGCTGGCTCAGCGTCGGTCTCCTCGGAAACCTTTGCTGCAGGCTCCGCCGCGGGCTCTGCTTCCGTCTCCCCTGCAGTCTCTGCCGTCGCCGTGGTTTCGGGCGACAGGGCCCTAGCCAAATCTGGCCACCTTTCTGGTCGCAGGTCTAGGCAGAACGGCAGCTCAGACTTCGGCTGCCTCGGCTCCTCGCTCTTGGCTTTTTGCTCCTCGGTCCTCCCGAGCGCCGTCTGCCGGCTTTTGCGCCGCTCCCGGTAGCCTCGGACAGGGGGGCTTGGGCCGCTCGCGTTCTTTTTTCTGGTTATGTGTAGCCCAGGCGCAAAATCGAACAAAGGAAGGGAACGCGCCCACCATGCTGGCTCGCCGCGCCCCAGAAAAAACAGATGCTGGGGCATAAAGGAAAAACCAACACTCAACTTCACCACTTCACTGCTTCACCATCCCTCCTATTGCACCGACAACCAGCTTGGTCCAAGGAGCTCTGCAGCGTCACGGCCTGAGCCTAGCTCCGGACCAATTGCGGGGGATCTGCCCAACGGAAGAAAAAAATGCTCTTGGAGTGTGTGCAAGTGGAAACCAAAAAGGAAACCAATTGCTGGGCTCCACTTGTCACTGTTTGGACGCGCCCATATTTAAGATTGAGGATTGCCTCATGATTGCCTCAACATGAATCATGACTGTCTGGTTGCTCCTTCCATGGGGCGTAACACGGCATGACACGGCCTGCCGACTGCGACAACCTGAGGATTGTCCGCCCGGCTTGGCTCACGGAGACCCTTTGCCAGAAATCACACCCTTGGTGTCCACTGAGACTAGGTCCTCCAGTAGAGGGTTTAGAATAAGGGCACTACTGGGGGACCTAGGAGATCTTAGAGCCGAGGCTGCAAAAATCAACATGTCTGGTCAGCGGAAGAAGCCTAGCTGCCAGAAAAATCCGCCTGCAGCTCGTTTGCCTCAACTACACTGCCCAGCGGCGCGTCAAAGCTAGCAGACCGATCGGCCATGTGGTCGGTTTCCTTTTGATTTCGATATGTTGGCAAATGGCATCCTTTGGGATGGCAAATCTGGGGGCTCTGCCAAAACACACCTTCAACACAATTGCCATCCCCATCGCGGATTTTGAATGGATCAACATTCCTGGCTTGTATGGCATGCAAATCCCCATCCCGCCTCTGGTTTCCCATGGGCTTGTGACAGCTCCTGGCATAGACATAGGTAGCTTTGATACTGGTCGAATGCAACGGCTCAAGTCTCTCAAGTCCCTCAAGTCGAAAAAGCACAGGCACAAGTCGCTTTCCTCAACAAATGCTACATAGCTGCAAAATCGCTGTTAGACAATCGCATGGGCACATAGCTGGCAACCTACACCGTCGCACTAGCGAACAAAAACAAGTTAGGTTCCCTCTGGCTTTTGCTCAAAACTTCTCTTGATGGCCTGCGAGGCAAGGGTGTGAATTGCCACTTCGGGGGTGCGAGAAGCCAAAGCTGTGTGAACAACCGATTCATGACTTAGTTGCTGCTGACCCCCTACAACAAGTTTACCTTTTTGGGGGTTTGGTTGAAAACCCCTTGATTTCCCAGAAGGTTAAAGTCCCAATAGCAGTCAAGATGAAGTGTAAGAGGCATGCGGTATGTCAGATAGCATTGAGGATGCGGGGACACAAGGGCGTTTCATTGCACATGTGGCAGCCTATGCCTGCACACGCACTTTGCAACAATCACATGAGCAGGAGGGTTTTGAAAGACCGCCATCATCTCAAAACAACATCTGTTATATTGTGTCCATGTCCATGCTGACTGCGATTGGCCCACCAAAGCTGATTCGATCTGACTGACATGCAGGAGCATGCTGCATGACTTAATCACCCATTCTAATCAGCCCTCACGCTGCTAAGCTCATGATGTATCTTGGCAAACATGCGCTGCACGCTCGATCTTGGTGCGTCTGTGGAAACTAGCCCTTTCTGAGACACCAACATGGGCCATCTCGCTCTTAAAGGGGGATTCAATTGGTGTCACAAGACGTCAAACTGTGGCTCTGAAACCCAAGTCTCCATGAAGCAACAAAGTCAAACAGTGGCGCCAACGGTGTCCACAAAGGAGCCCACTGGCTTGCTGGTGCTCAGCAGGGAATGGGGAATGAGAAATGGAATGAACTCTAAAAACCATCCAGCTGGTGGTTTCCTTTCTTCGGGAAACCCGACTTGTTCATTCCATTTCTCATTACCTGCATCTCTCGCACCAGCAAGACAAAGGTACCATCAACAGAAGGGGAAACCGTGAAAAAACAAAACCTTCAGCTGTGCAAGCTCAGGAAACCGCAAACAGAAACGGCCCTCGGGCGGCGCGATTGACGCGGCCCAGGGGCGGAGGAGGTGTCGCTCGGCTTGCGAGTGGGGCGGTCGCTGAGCTTGGGCTCAATGCGTCTGGCCTGGCGTTCAGAGCCATTGGGGTAAAGCAGCCGGAAGGTAACCCTAGGGGTACCGTAGCTTGCCTCCAAGTGGGTTTGGGTAACCCGAGTACAGTGAGTCAGCTTCCCCTCTACGTGGTGTGGATTGCCTTGGAGGTGTGGAGGTTGGGCGGTGCCGCATTTACCCTATGCAAGAAGAACCAGGGGTTCAAATCCCCGAACCACCTATTCGGGGAACTTTTGCTCGCGGTACCCGTTTTGAGGTTGGTGTAAAGGGAGACCAAAAGGACACCGCAGCTTTTGGGTCCAGGGATCCGGAACGCGGCAGGATCCCCCACTGGATTCTGCCAAGTGGCCCCAAACAGCCCCTGTTGGAGGTAAGTGAAATAACGATTTGATAGCTGGTGAGGGGGCCTCTTTGGTTCCTTTTGCTGAACGAAGCTTAAATGTGATTTTCAACTTCGGACCAGTTTATGGGGAGCCATCGCAGCTGCTAGAAGTGTAGTACTGGTGACTAGGGGCCAGGGACCATGGGTCACGAGCTTCGCAAGGCTCCCCTCGCACTGGCAGCTACACCGCGTGTGTGCTCTCGGCGCTGTCTCCCTCTCTCTGCCTCTCTTTCACTCTGTCTTTCACTCTTTCCCTCTCTTTCCCTCTCTCTCTCTCTCTCTCTCTCCTCCATCCTCCCTCCCTCCCTCCCTCCCTCCCTCCCTCTCTCCCTCCCTCCCTCCCTCCCTCTGCCTGTCTGACTCGGTCCTTCTTGTGGTCGGGCTCATCTGCCGAGTGTCTGACCTGCGATTTGTCCCGATTCCACCCCGCCCTGGCATCACATGCAGTCACCCATCTCCCCAAGTTGATTTAGTCCCTCCCCAACAAGTCGGACACTGAAACCAACCGTGGGATTCTCATGGCCGCCGCTCCAATCGAAACATGTATGCTGCCGAACGCATCGTGATGCAGAACTTGAACCAAGCACCCGCCAGTCTTTACCGCCAGATCTTCTGCACAAACTACACTGGACACAGTGGTAAGGTTCTCATAGTGCAAGCCGCCTGCATTCTGCCATGCTGCGATCAGCCGGAGCCATAGCCCAATAATTTTGAAACGTTATCTTTCTCTTGTGCGCACCCAGTCTCGCGTGAGCATCTTTAGTCCTTGAAGCCAGTTCGGCCACGTTTTCTCCGGTCTCCCATCCCCTTGCCAATCCGCCAAGCACATAGCTTGGTTGCTGTTGACCCCCCTGCAAAAAGTGAATCACTTTTTGAGGGTTTAGTGGAAAACCCAACTTGATTTCAACCAAAAAGTTAAAGTCTAAAGATCCAACCCAATAGCAGTCCAGAGTTGGCCTCGAAAGCCTTGTCCTTCTTCTTTGCGGCCACCCATTCGGCTTGCTTCATGGCATCCGATGGCATCCAACCCAATAGCAGTCAAGATAGGTGGACTTGCACTGGCACCCCAAGTGGAAGCCCCACAGAGCCCAG